TCTCCTGAGCCCCAGTTGGCCCTCCTCACCTGTAAGTAAAACCCTCTCGCAATCAAAACTGTGTTTATTCTGTTCTGAGCGTTGGTGCTATTATGGTGAATAATATTTACTCTTTCATCTCTAACACCTAGCATGGAGTCCATTTGTTGAATAAATGAATTGGAGGTATATTTCCTGTTTTTAGGGTATTTGGAGTCAGATGGGAGAGCTTACCGTTTGAAGCTGTGGGTCCCTGGAATTCCTGTCCTCACATTTGATCTTTTCCCTTAAAATTGCCTCAGGCCTACTCACTAGATGTTTCAAGCTTGTTTAACTTTTTCATGATGCTGACATCTGGAGGCAGTTCATGGGAGGGGACATGTGGCCCAAGTCAATGCCAACTTTCCCTGTAGCCTGACTGTAATAAATTACTTCCTTGCAGTTACTACCAGAGTCAGACTGTGCCTGGTTACATGTTTCTGTTTCTGGTTTGAAGGATCCCTTCAGCTCTCTACTCATTGATAAAGGATGATTGTTCCTGAACCCATTGGTTGGACAAGACATTTAGCTCTTCTTTCTCTCCTAAATCCTCTCCACGTCTTCATAGGTACCTTGAGGAAGGATGATCCAAAATTATATTTCCATAGTTTTCCATTTTCAAAACTACTTTTATTCCCCAATGAATGTGCTCTCACAGTTAATGTTTGAAATTAGAAGTTACACCTTCTGTTTCCTAGACTAGTGCCATTTTCATGTTATAATACTTTTGAAGATTTAGTGACTTTTGGAAATCTGTGATTAACTTAATGATACTTATTATGGTACTTAATTATTAATCATTGTGACAATTGTGTTCTAAATCAAATTTCTCTCTTTTCCTTGATGGCCTAAAAGTCTTTTAAGAATTGTCTTACACATTTTTTGGTCACTTTATCCTTGATCACTTTTTCCAGACTTTTTCAATCTGGCTTTGACATTTGTCACCTTTACTCAGGCTATAATTGCCCTAGAAATTTCTTTGTGTCCTAGAAATTTATACACCCACTGTTTTTACTGAGTTCTACCTTCCTGGACTTTTTAAATTTAAATTTTATTTTCTTGTTTAAAGTATTACAAATAGTAGTACATATGTCTCCTTTTTTCCCCACTGACCTTCCCCTAGCCTCCCATAAACCCAGGCACATGCCTTTACCCCACCCCACCCCCAGTGTCTTGTGTCCATTGGTTATGCATATAAGTCCTTTGATTGATCTCTTACCCCCACCCCCGCAAAACACCTCAGCCTTCCAGCTGTAATTTGACAGTTTGTTCGATGCTTCTCTGTCTCTGTATCTATCTTTTTGTTCGTTAAGTTATAATGTTCTTTATTATCCATAAATGAGTGAGATCATGTAGTATTTTTCTTTCACTGCCTGGCTTATTTCACTTAGCATAATGCTCTCCAGTTCCATCCATGCTGCTGCAAATGGTAAGAATGCTTTCTTTTTTATAGCAGCGTAGTATTCCATTGTGTAGATGTACCACAGTTTTCTAATCCACTCATCTGCTGATAGGCATTTAGGCTGTTTCCAAATCTTAGTTATTGTAAATTGTGCTGCTATGAACATAGAAGTGCATATATCCTTTCTGGTTGGTGTTTCTGTTTTCTTGGGATATATTCCTAGAAGTGGGATCACGGGGTCAAATGGGAGCTCCATTTTTAATTTTCTGAGGAAACGCCATTCTGTGTTCCACAATGGCTGCACCAGTCTGCATTCCCACCAGCGGTGAAGGAGGGTTCCTTTTTCTCCGCATCCTCTCCAGCATTGTTGTTTGTTGATTTGTTGATGATAGCCATTCTGACAGGTGTGAGGTAGTACCTCATTGTTGTTTTGATGTGCATCTCTCGGATGATTAGTGACTTTGAGCATGTTTTCATGTGTCTCTTGGCTTTCTGAATGTCCTCTTTCGAAAAGTGTCCTTTGCCCATTTTTTGATTGGATTGTTTATCTTCATTTTGTTAAGTTGTATGAGTTCCCTGTAAATGTTGGAGATTAAACCCTTATTGAAGATAACATTGGCAAATATGTTCTCCCATGCAGTGGGCTTTCTTGTTGTTTTGTTGATGGTTTCTTTTGCTGTGCAGAAGCTTTTTATTTTGATGTAGTCCCATCTGTTTATTTTCTCCTTAGTCTCTCTTGCCCTAGGATCTGTGTCTGTAAAGATATTGTTACGACATATGTCTGCAATTTTGCTGCTATGGAGTCTTGTAGGGTTTTTATGGTTTCCCGTCTTACATTCAAGTCCTTTAGCCATTTTGAGTTTGTTTTTGTGTATGGGTTAAGTTGGTGATCTAGTTTCATTTTTTTGCACATATCTGACCAAATTTCCCAGCACCATTTATTAAAGAGGCTGTTTTGACTCCGTGGTATGCTCTTGCCTCCTTTGTCAAATATTAATTGAGTATAATGGCTTGGGTCAATTTCTGGATCCTCTATTGACCAGTGGTTCTCAACCTGTGGGTCGCAAACAATGAAAATACATCCTGCATACCAGATATTTACATTATGATTCATAATCGTAAAATTACAGTAGCAAAATTACAGTTATGAAGTAGCAACGAAAATAATTTTATGGTTGGAGTCACCACAACATGAGGGACCATATGAAAGGGTCACGGCATTAGGAAGGTTGAAAACCACTCTAATTAGAAAAGAGGGTCAGAGTGATTATTTCCATCCAATATGGCTAGAACCATGACAGAGATAAGCACAGGATAGCACTGGGCCCCAGGGGAGGGTACCTCGCACAGACAGGAAAAGGTAATTAGAAAGACTCTCCTAGAGTACATGCCCTTGGCCAGAATCGAACCTGGGACCCTTTAGTCCGCAGGCTGATGCTCTATCCACTGAGCCAAACCAGCCAGGGCTCTTCTACTCTCTTCTTTTTCCCTTGAAGAAGGAAAGGAGAAAGGCAGAGGGTTTGGAATCCGTACCAAAAGGAGGGAAAAAGAACTCTACATGGACACAGAGCAGTCCAAGTAAGACCCCAGAGGCTTGAAATAGTGTACAAGTTGGGGAATTATGATGTGTTCCAACCAGAAAGGGACAGAAAGGATGGAAGGAGATGAGGTTGGAGAAAGGGGTCCCAGGCTGTCCTCACATGGAAGTCATTACAAAGCCTCTCTTTCTCACACTCCCTCCTCACTCTCTTTCTCCCTTTCACCAGGTTCATCTATTTGCTTTAAAATAACCCCTCAATTGAAAATGGAAAACAATTCAGGAAGGAAGCTTTGCAACATAAATGGCATCTGTGAATGCTCTGGAAATGAATCCTCTCCCTCATTGTTTTTGAGGTTGTTTTCACTTCCATCTAAAGAGTCTTGACTGGTTTGGCTGAGTGGATAGAGCTTTGGCCTGCAGACTGAAGGGTCCCAGGTTCGGTTCCAGAGAGAGAGAAATGTCAAGGTCACTGTTAGAAATACAATATTGCTAGTTCCCAATTTCTTTACATACCAAGGCAAACCAGAGCTCCTGTCAGAACTGTACATAATAGGGGTTAAGGACAAATGTAATGGTAAGCTCCTGATAAGAGGCAGCTCCTTTAAAAAAAAAACCAAAATGTTAGATCTTCATTGCACATATCTTACTAAACTAATGTATACATTTTATGCCTGAAAAATTTGGAACAAATATTATCACCCAGTTATTTGCAAACTAGTGAGTTATACCATTGTCATACAGCAACTATTAGAGTCAACCATTTTCAATGATTACAAAACCATTCTTTTCTAGAGGTATATTAGGGAAAATAACTTTTATAACAGTTGATAGTTGGGGTGCCTCTGGGGCTAAGATTCATAGATAAACAGTCTGGTAGTTGTGATCACGTCACTTTTATTTTAGGACTCTTTGATTTCTGGTAATAGGAATATACTTAAACTTGTGTAGTCCAAAGAGGAATGTATAGGTTCATGTAATCGGACAGAGAAAAGGCAAAGGTAGGGTTGTCCCTAGAGTAGATGGAACCAGGAAATCAAACACCATCCATGTTCTCGCTATTTTCTCTCTGGGTGTTCACTTCATTATTTTGGTTTAGTTTCTCCATGAGGACAGAAACTTTGTTGCCTGCAGATCTCAGTACACATTTCCACAGCTTACTGAGCAGAAAGAAAATGGCATTAACTTATAGCTCAAATTTGAAAAATCCAAGGGAAGGTATTTCGTAGGCTCAGGCTGAGTCATGTGTCCATCCCAGATCCAATCACTGTGGAGACCATGAGAGGTCCCGAATGAGTCAAGTGCTCTTCCTATTCCATGATCAAAGTCAAGAAGACAGGGTCAAGTAAGAGAATGGCTGCTTCCAGACAAATCACGTAGCTGCATTTTGGCTTTATGTGTAGGTGTGAGGGGAAGGTGGGGGAAAGAAAAAGGATTCCCCAGAGAAAGGGGTGAGTTATGAAGAGTATTTTCAACGAGAAGTTTACTGGGAACCAACAATCCACCTACTTATGTCCAGCAAAAAGATTAACAAAATCAACATATCTATAATCCAACTCAGAACTTTCTTTCCAAGCTGTTCATCCACCCTGTTTCTGTTAAGAGGACCCCATATTCTCAGAATCTAAGGGCTGACTTTTTCACAAGAAGAACATGATGTCACCTTCCTCTCCCTTTCCACAGGATTTCCCTCCCCTGCCGGCAGGTCTAAGCAGTCTTCTCCCTCCCACCCCACCGTCAGCTTTTGAAAGTCTTAGTCGATTAGCATTTCAGAAGGGAAGCTCATTCTTACAGGTGAGAGAAGATCCCAGTTCCTTCTCATTCAAGCAGTGACACTGGAGTTGCAACAGGTAGGTCATCCCAAAAAGAAAAAGGGAAAGAACCATTCTTTTAAGGTTTTGTTTCTCCAATTGCTACCCATTCCCACCGAACCCTCTACCATCCATCTACCCTGTTGTTTGTCTTTGACCATCCGTGAGAGACTCCATGTAGAAGGAGTTCCTTAGGGGAGGGGGCATGGCACTGTTTATTTCTATTACTTACACTGTGCTTTGAACACATGACAGTCCCTGTAGAGTGGGTGCAGTCCATGGTGAAGTCCAGGGGCAGGGAAAACTTCAGAGAAAAGCACAGCAAAATACGAGTGTTCTGGAAGAACTGCAATAATAAACTAGAGATTAGGATGAGATAATAAGTAGTCAATATACCCATCTCTCTCCCAATATTCTCTCTTGATGTTCCCACCATCTTTTAATGTACATAAACATGTACACGTGGTTATGCTAGGGTGAGGTGAGAGCAGGATACAGGTGTGACAACTCATCCGAGAGGTTTTTGAGCCTGAGTATGAGATACAACTGTTCAATTGGCTTTGCGGAGAAGAAATCTAAGAGGATGAGGTCAGAGGAATGGGATGGAAAACAGACACACGGTGCAACTTCTTCACTAGGTCAGGCAACCTGCTCTCTGGAAAAGGACTGTTAAGCCAAGACTTTCTTCCAGACCGAGGCTGACCAGAGATGCCTTTTAGTCCACAGGGAGTTCTCCTGTTACTCTTTCAGAGTCTGAGAAGGCTTCTCAGCAGCTAGGCACCCATAACCTTATTCCCTGTCTGTTCTCCCCAATTTTCTCGGGGGAATATTTCTGAATATTAGAGACATGGAAAAAAACGACATAGTCTCCTTTCTCTCTCCTCATGTAGGGATTTCCCAATGTAACTCTAGGCGCCCTGTCGAATTCTTTCTCTGTCAGTGATCAACAAGAGGCAAATGTGAGGGCTTGAAGCTCAACAAGTGGGCTTAGTTGAATCTACCAGGAAAAAGAAGTTGATTGAAACCCTCTACTTTAGGCCCTAAAAAAAAGAGAGGAGAAGAGTGCGGATTGGTTTGGCTCAGTGGATAGAGCATCGCCTGGGGGTTGAAGGACCTGAGGTTCGAATGCAGGCAAGGAAGAGAGAGAGAGAGAGAGAGAGAGAGAGAGAGAGAGAGAGAGAGAGAGAGAGAGAGATTCAGTATTCATAATGGCTAAAATCTGCTTTGTTTTCAATCTAAAAAGTTAACAATTTTATCTTCCCCCTAAGCTTGTTGTGCTAATTACAGGCAATAACACGTAAAAGATCTGGCACATACTCAGAGAACAGCAGCCATTATTATAGTAAAGCATGCAGCAAAAGTTTGTAAATACATATTGTAAACTAGAGCTGCAGTATTTCAGGAGATTTTCTCTATTTCCTGTTTTATAAAGTAATTAACAATTTTGCATTTCTCACCAAACACCTTGTTAGTTTTATTCCACAATGTAGCAAAGACTTGTTAAGACTTACTGTCAAGGGTTCACATTGCTAGAACTTGTTTGTTTGTTTGTTGATTTTTAGAGAGAGAGGTAGGGAGAAGGGGAAGGGAGAGAAAAATATTGCTCCCTGCACGACCCCCACCCACCAGGGATCCAGCTCAAAACCCAAGCTTGTGCCCGGACCAGGAATCAAACCAGCAACCTTCTGGTGCACAGGGCAACGCCCATCCAACTGAGCCACACCGACCAGGGCACTAGAACTGTATGATCACCCACATAAAAATAATACAGTGTGGTTATTAGTCTTGTACACAAAAAATACATATTTTAAACCAATTATTCACACATCTTAGGTTGCATCATTCTTAATATTAAAATTCATCTGTGAAAATATGAGATCTCACAGGGGGAAAAAAACACATGAAGACACTGTAAGAAGATGGTCAACTACAGGCCAGGGAGAGAGGCCTCAGAATGAAACCACCCCCACCCTCGTCTTGATCTTGGACTCTAGCCCCCAGGATGGTGACTAAATAAATTTCTGTTGTTTAAGCCAGAAAGAAAAGAAAACATGAAATCTGCCAGTCTGCAAAGGATGCCTCTTTCATGACAAATAGTACAGTACAACATTTTACCTCATTTAGTAGCTTTGAATTAAACTGCATTATCAGCAAAGAAAATAAATATTTAAAATGTACACGTAAATTAGTGGAGTGAAACATAGCTATGGTAATACATTTATTAAGAAAATCTAGCCCAGGTGGTTTGACTCAGTGGTTGCGTGTCAGCCTATGAAGCAGGAGGTCTCAGCTGGATACCCAGTGAGGGCACATGACTGGGTTCCAGGCTCCATCCCCTGTAGGGGGTGTACAGGAGGCAGCCAATTGACTATTCTCTCTCATCATTGATATTTCTATCTCTCTCTCCCTCTCCTTCCTCTCTCTGAAATCAATAAAAACATATATAAAAAAAGAAAATCTAATATCTGTTCAAATTAATCTTAATGTCATCTCTCACCAAAAATGCTTAATGTGAATCTAATCGCGAGAGGAAAAGATTATAGTAATCCAAACTGAGGAACAGTCTACAAAACTTCTGGTCTGGATGCGTCTATGAGATCAATCTCATGAAAGACAGAAGAGGCAAGGGAAGGTTCTAGATTAAAGGTGACTGAAGAAACTTGACAACTAGATGCAAGGCAGGGTCTGTGACTGGGTTCTGAAGCAGAGTTTAACATCATTTACGTAGGATATTATTGGGACAATTGAGGTCATCTGAAAATAGACTACATATTAGATAATAATAATGGATTAATGTTAATTTTATGAAGTATAATCATTGGATCATTATTATGTAGAATGTCCTTGTTCTTGAGGGATACATGCTGAAGTATCAGGACGCTAGCAACTAACTTTTAAAATGAAGAAAAAAATATAAATCTATAGTGAGAAGCAAATGTGGTAAAAAGACAATCTTACACACTGTTGTCTGTTTTTTTCATATTTCTAGAAAGAATGATATTGTTAAAACAGGCATCAAAGTTGAAGAGCATTGTATTGTACTAATTATTCTGAAGCAACAGCAATTTTCAATTTACTTAAATAAAATTAAACTTCCTCATAAAATGTTAACATATATCTATTAAAATATTACAACATCAGATGAATCAATACCTATTTCTTCAATAATGTAAAAAGACTCATAATCAATAGAGCCTTTAAACGTTTAAAATGACAATAGCTATTAAATATAAACTATTTCTGAAATAGAAATTCAATTTTTATAAAATTAAAAATTTAAATAACCATTAAGTGTATTGACATATACATTAATGCTCAAGCAAATTGTTCTGAAATTACATTACAAAAGAAACAAATTCCTTTGGTTGAAACAAAGCCTTCCCGATTACAATAGTTTAGATTTTAATTTTGAAATAATAGTCCTTGAAAGTTTAACATTAGTCTCAGAAATTATTAAATTCATTTTTCATCATTTTGCATTACATAAAACAGTAACTTTATCCTACTTAGGTATTAGGGTGGCATTTCCATTTATTCTTACCTGTATGTATTAGGTGGATTCTGTCAAGCCCCTTCAAGAATCTTTGGAACAAAGCAAAGCATAAAGTAAACAAGTGGATTACATATATGGCTGACATTTCTTTTTTTAACATGTCTAAGTATCTTGTGTGAGCTCCAAAGTTGAAGACAAAAGGAAACACTATACAGTGCTATTTACCATAGTCTTACATGGGAGCTGTAAGAAGCTGAAATAATACTTCATTTTATATTAAATAACAGGTGGTAAGATACTAAATTATTGCAATAAGGAACCCTACAGGTAGATTCTGAAATAACCAAAGGTTATTAGCTCACAGAAGATGTTACAAGATGGCTGTCACTTTTATTTTATTATTCCTTGTGGCAAGCTTTACACATACTTCTAGTTCTTATCAAGGCATCCTTAACTCAGGCATGACTCGTCAAAATATCAAAAAGAAAGCCAACTGTTTCTTCAGGTCGTCTCCCACACCACATCCACTCCCATCCTACCCCACCACCATCCTAGAAGCAATTCTGATCATCACCTCTCCTTCCCATCCTATCACCCCACTCTCAATGCATTTCTAGGATTCTGCAACCACTAAGCCTCAAGGATACTTTCACCATCAGGGCAGATAGGATTGGTTGCCTATCTGTTGTCATTTCCCCAGTTTTTTTGTGGTTTATATATCAATTTAAAGGACCTTCAGTGTTTTCTACAGCAGCATTTTCAGAGAAGGTGGGTCCTCTCTACAGGGTATGAACCATGGTTGCTATAAACCTAGAGTGTCATCCCATGATCCTTTGTTAATGTTTGGTGTGACCTCATTCTGGCTACTTCTGATCAATGAGATATGAGGGGAAGTCGGCTACGTGCACTTTTGAATAGGATTTTGTTTAAGTAAGATTTCATTTCTCCTTGAACGTTTGAAGATGCAGCCATCTTGTGACCATGAGGTGGTAGGTCTGGAACTATAGGACAACATCCTGAGGGGGGCAGAGAAGAGGGAGCCTGGATCTTTGAGCTCCATATCTGGAATCCCCCATCTTCAGGCTTCTTGTTTTAATGTCTTTATGGACCATGTAATTAATGGTTGGGTGATCTGCTACTTGTGGCAGAAAATCTTCTCAGCCGATTTTCTGAAAATTAAAAGATGATACTTTGCCTGTTCCACTTAACTCAAGCATTATCTAAAGCCTTCTTAATAACAGCTCTTTTAAAGAGAAATGTTTCATCTTCTATGTTTCCCCCTCTTTTATGCTGTGTACCTATTCTCATCTCTGACAAGATCTTATTACCATAATAGGAAGCTTTATGAAATTATCAAGAATGAAGTACCTGTAAAGTCCCCATTTCAAGAACCCTTTTCCCAGCATTGTGATGTGCCAAGTTTTAAAGTATTCAATCTCCTCCCAAACCCCACCATCAAAAATAGAACATGTTTTCAGGAAAGCATATTAAATAGTTACAGCCTTAGTGTAATTTTAAAACCAAGATGAAAGAGGCCCTTACGCAGTTGATATTCTGATGCGTGCACACAGATCACCTGTGTCAGAATAACCTGCAGGGCTAGTTTAAAAAGCAGAGTCCTCAGCCCCATCCCAGAACGAGCCAAACTGGAGTCTTCAAAGGTGGGACCCAGGAATATGTATTGTAACAAGCTCCTCATGAACGATTGAGAGCCGAAGGCTTAAGGTAATCTATTTTTAATAGAGCTGGTTTAGAGGTGAAGGAGACTCTGAGATGGCATGCCTGAGACCCTTCAATAATCCTGAGGAAATGGATCAACTGGGGCTTTCTTGGCCATTTGCCATGTTACAGTGTTTCCTCGTCAGTGAACATGGGAACTTCTAAACTTTCACCAGAACATGGCCCGATAAGGCTTCCATCTTCTATTAAAATTATTTACATAAATGATAACAGAGAAATACAAATTTTTGCCTCTACCAAGTCATCTCTGAGAGGACATCTCTTATGGAAGCTGCTTTTCAGCGCTCCACATGAGAATCAAGCAAAACTAGTCATCAAAGGCCCCCAGGAAGGAAGCAACAACCAGTTTGTGGGTCTGGGGTTCCACTCAACAAGTCTCCTTTCTGCCTCCCCTAGGCCAGGTGGTTGGGGTGGGAAAGAGAGGATAGGGTCTCTAATTCCTGTTTGGATCCGTGAAATAGTTCAATTGTAAAAGGAAAGAGACTTCACCAGGGCTGAGTAACTAGTATAAGTAATATTTCCTTATGTATTCATATTACTTTGAAGACAATAAAGAGACTTTGCTGAAAAATAATTCCAACTGAAACCTGAAACCTTCACTCACTGATTTAGAAAATGACCTATGGTTTCCACAAATCTAACAAGGAAAAGGAATTTCCCCAGATCATTGGCCAAAAAGTCCCCTAAAACACACGGCAATCGAGAAATCTGGTTGGGTTGCACCTGAGATATGCAAAAACTTGAATGACTTAAGCAGCTCTTCTCCATTGTTTTGCCCCACCTGAATCTTCAGAAGACCCAGGAGCTAAACAGAAGGCCTGTATATACAGCATCTCAAAAAGTAAGAGACAACCTGGGCCCTAGAGAATAGTGGGGGGCAAAGGGCAGAGAGACGTGATGAGATACGGAGGTTGCCATCTCGAGGGCCCCAGATGAGGACAGATATATCTATTACATGAAAGAAATGGGCCAGAGGTCATTGACAATATCAACATAGAAAGAGCAAAGACCCTCTAAAATCTAGCCCAGTCAAAAGGTACCATGTAGAAACATCGCTGAATGTGGATACGTCTTTCAATATTTTAAGGGACGCTAGAAAACGGAATGTTTATGCAAAAGCTCCTAATTTCTAATGTTGGCTCAAAACAATTTTTAAACACTGTGTGAGCCAACAGTAACATCTTTAGGGCTGGGTTTGGCTTGTGAGCCTACAGTTGCAACCACAGAGTTCTGCCTTCAAACATACAATAGAAGAGTAAAAGACCATTGAGAGTTTCCAAATTAACTGGGGAGAGGAGGGTTATGTATCTTTTCAAAATTAGTAATGTGTTTTATTCTCCCCAATCTACCTGAAACATTGAATCATCCCTTGGCCTGAGGAAAAGATGAGGAATTTTTTACAGAAAACAAAAATGTTTAAGAGAAAGACCAAAGTAAATGAGTTGAACATTTATGTCCACAACTGTTAATTTTCTAGAGAGATGCTGCTTGGGAAAGTCTTGGTGCATTTTGCCCGGCTGAGTTAAGGAATCTTAAAAGGAGCTCATCAAACCAGCCATTAATGAGTTACCCACAATCTGTTCATACACTAGCAAGCAAATAGGAGATCTATGTGAGAAGTTCCTGGGATTCAGACTCCACCGGCCTTGCTCAGTTGTCACATTTATTCACAGTTGCCCAAATCACGGGGTGGGGGGTGGAGGACGTGGAGCGCATAGATTTGCACGTTTCTATCACTGCCGGCCTCATACAGTGTCACGAACTGGTGAAGAGCTCGAGGCAATCTCAATTACAGTCTCCGTTCTGTTTCTTCCTGGCTGTGTGACCCTTCATCTAGGCAGGTAACCTCTCTGAGGCTCCATTTTCTTCCCTGTGTAATGGGGGAAACAGTAGCAATTAGTATCTCATGGGTTTTAAGGCGCACGGGAGATCACGTATGGAAAGCATTTCATTGAGCCCATGACATACTGTGAGTAGCATAGTCGTCCTCAAGAGCGTCTCACGAATTCCCCCTTGTGCTCAGCCCTTGACTAGCTTCTCTTTCTGGTGATGACAGCGATGAGCGAGCGACTGGAGGGCTACGTGCCATCGCCTCTCCAGCCCGGTTCCAGCTCGGGTGCGCGCGGCGAAGCAGAGGTCACGCTGGTGGGTGGCCTGGGCGCCTGCATCGCTGCTTCTCGGCTGTTTCGCGCTGCGTGGGAGGAGGCAGAGGACAGCCGTGTAAGATCGTAGGCGTCGCAGCCAGAGGGCTCGGGCTCTGCCACTTGCTCCACCTCTTTTCTTCAGCCTCCTCACCTGTGAAGCGGCGATCGTACAGCACCTGCCACGGGATGGCCAGCCTTAGCTTGGGAGGGTTAAATGATGAATTCAGAAAACGTCCTCAGCACAGGGCTGGGCACATAGAACACCCGATCGGCGGAGGTCCTGCTATTATTTCTAATCGGCTACATGAACGAATTGAGATGCAGCATGACATCTCCGGTGAGAGTCAGAGCCACCCCCGCAGCCCAGCACCCCGCCGCCCGCAGCTGGCGCGCCGCGCGGAGCCCCGGCCGGACTCGGCTGAGCTGCGCGTGGACCACAGGGACGCCCGGCGGGCGCTTCCATTTCTTCAGAGCGGCGGGGGGGTCCCCTGAGATCGGTCACTTATTTAGCCCCCTGTGTAAGCACAGAGCTCCGTGACTGCCAATGCACTCAATAGAATAAATGACGACCGACACACGCGGCCGCCCAGTAAGTGAACCTGGGTAAACATTTGGAGTTGGTACCCTCTCTCTCGCTGCCATCGGAACGCGCCGGGAGGAATGGTTTGGTCCGAGGCTTCCCGCCCAGGTAAGGGCAGCACAGTGTCTCCTCCTGGTTCCGAAGGAGATGACCATCCCCCGTAACCCGAGGCCCCGTCGGGGTGTCCGCTTCCAGAAATGCACGCACTCGCCTGCCCCGCTTGGCGAATTCCCCCCAAACTGCCCGCAGCCAGTGGCAGCGCTCAGCTCTGGGCCCCGCCCGCCCTCAGGTGTGCGCGGCCGGGCTGGCGGGCAGGTGGGACGTGCGCACCGGCTGGGCTGGACGCCGAAGCTGCCTTTAAACTCCACCCCGGAGCGTTTAGACGCCAGAGCAGGGGTGTGTGCGGGAGGAGGGGGGACACCGACGCCTCGGCTTCCCAGCGCAGCCCTGGCTGCGTGTGAATATGATTCTCCACCAAGGCTATTCATTGAGTGTGTCATTACATGTCATTGGACATGTATGTCTTTTCATGTTTAAAATAAATAGAAAAAAAAATAGCCACGTGCCCAGATTTGGGGGTACGAGGGGAAGCCGGTCCACAGAAGAAGTCGAGGTTTCTACAAGAAGCGAGAGAAACGTAGGCTTGACGAGGAGATGCTAACTTTGATCCAGCTCCTCCCTGTGCACCCACCTGGGGCTTTAACTCGTTGACTTCTCACCGAACACACACACACACACACACACACACACACACACACACACACACGAATTTCATCTGGGGAAGTCAATCAGCTCGAAGATGCAGAGCCAGTAGGAACTCTAGTGTAAGGATGGATCCCGGATCGGACTCCCCCATCCAGGCTTTGTTCCCAGGACCGCGGGCCTCCGAGCGAAGGACGCCAGCAGTCACTTGGGTTGTCTGCCTCATTCTAATCGAGACAACCTAACCAGAAAGTTATTTTTTTAATATATTTTATTGATTTTTTACAGAGAGGAAGGGAGAGAGATAGAGAGTTAGAAACATCGATGAGAGAGAAACATCGATCAGCTGCCTCCTGCACATCTCCTACTGGGGATGTGCCCGCAACCCAGGTACATGCCCTTGACCGGAATCGAACCTGGGACCTTTCAGTCCGCAAGCCAACGCTCTATCCACTGAGCCAAACCGGTTTGGCCAGAAAGTTACTTTTTTTTTTTTTTTTTTTTTTTTTTTAATATATTTTATTGATTTTTTTACAGAGAGGAAGAGAGAGGGATAGAGAGCCAGAAACATCGATGAGAGAGAAACATCGATCAGCTGCCTCCTGCACATCCCCCACTGGGGAAGTGCCCGCAACCCAGGTACATGCCCTTGACCGGAATCAAACCTGGGACCTTTCAGTCCGCAGGCCGATGCTCTATCCACTGAGCCAAACCGGTTTCGGCTGGAAAGTTACTTTTTAACGGTCCCATCGCTAGTGCGGGGTAGAGCCAAAGCGAAAATGTAGACATTGGGATCCAGGCTGCCTTCCCACCAGAGTATATAATGATGTTACCATTTTGTCTTTTGCTTTTAACCGAAACAGAATCAAAGATGTGAAAAGTATTTTTAAAAATATAATTTTGTAGATTTCAGAGAGGAAGGGAGAGGGAGGGAGAGATAAAACATCAATGATGAGAGAGAATCATGGATCGGCTGCCTCCTGCACGCCCCCTACAGAGGATGGAGCCGTAAACCTGCGCATGTGCCCTGACCTTGACCTCCTGGTTCATATGTCGATGCTCAACCTCTGAGCCACACCGGGTGGGTGAAAAGTATTTTTTAATCCTTTCCTTTAAATGAACTAAAGTCTTAAGGATAGTAGTAGTAGTATTCTTTTTTTTTTTCTAAAGCACATATTAAACAATAACCAACTATGCTGCAGTACATGTACTCTTCTGGGATAACTTGGGTGTAAGTAGCTGTATATAGCCTGGGCTTTTATGTCATGTGATAGTGACTTGAGTATTATTATTATTACTAGAGGCCCGGTGCATGGAATTTGTGCATGGAGGGGGAGGTGTCCCTCAGCCTAGCCTGCCCCCTCTCCAATCTGGGACCCCTGGAGGGCAGTCGGACATCCCTCTCACAATCCAGAACTGCTGGCTCCCAACCGCTCGCCTGCCTGCCTGCCTGATTGCCCCCTGCTTCTTCCTGCCAGCCTGATCACCCCTTAACCACTCCCCTGCCAGCCTGATCGACGCCTAACTGCTCCTCTGCCAGCCCGGTCACCCCCAACTGCCCTCCCCTGCCTGCCTTGTCCCTCCCAACTGCCCTCCCCTGCTGGCCTGGTCCCCCCCAACTGCCCTCCCCTGTAGACCTGGTCGACCCTAACTGCCCTCCCCTGCCGGCCATCTTGTGTCCACATGGGGCGGCCATATTTGACCACATGGGGCGGCCATCTTGTGTGTTGGAGTGATGGTCAATTTGCATATTACTCTTTATTATATAGGATTACTAGGGGCCCGGTGCAGGAATTCATGCACAGGTGAGGCCCCTCTGGATGGCCTGCAGGGATCAGGCCGAAACCTGCAGTCCAACACCGCCTGCAGCTTTTACCTGCCGCTCCCGCTCATCCTGGCCCCATGGTGCATGCCGCCAGCTCACGCCCAATCGATCCCAATTGGCAGAGGCTGGCGCTGCTACAGCAGCGCTCACCAGCCATGAGCCTTGCATCTGGTGCCCTTCCAAGAGGAGTGGCCTGAGGGATCGGGCTGAAACCAGCTCTCCCACATCCCCTGAGGGGTCCCTCCCGGATTGCAAGAGGGCACAGGCCAGGCTGAGGGACCCCACTGGTGCACAATCAGGCTGGGAAGGGACCTTGGGAGGGCTCCAGGGCGTGTTAGCCCATCTCGCTCCGTCCCGACACAACGGAACCCAGCAGCAAGCTAACTACAGGTCAGAACATCTGCCCCCTGGTGGTCAGTGCACGTCATAGCGAGTGGTTGAGCAGCCTTAGCATATCATTAGCACATTACACTTTGATTGGTTGTTCGGTTGTTCTACCGTTTGGTCTATTTGCATATTACCCTTTTATTATATAGGATTATTATCTATACCAGTGGTCGGCAAACTCATTAGTCAACAGAGCCAAATATCAATAGTACAACGATTGAAATTTCTTTTGAGAGCCAAATTTTTTAAACTAACACTATATAGGTAGGTACACTGTTATTAACTTAATTAGGGTGGTCCTAAGGCTTAGGAAGAGCCACACTCAAGGGGCCAAAGAGCCGCATGTGGCTCGCGAGCCGCAGTTTGCCGACCACGGATCTATGCTAATAGAGCTAATATGCTAATGGTTGGGATGCCATAAGGGGTAATGACCAGATCATTAGCATATTAGCTGGGGCGTTGCTCCAGAGACGGGGCAGAAGTGGGGAGGCGCCCAGAGGAGGCAGGACCATCCCATGCTGGGCAGGACAAGGATGAGAGCCCATAGCACCCCCCTTACCAGTCCTTTGCCACCCACCGCTTGCACTCTGAGTGCCCCACGGCCCACCTGCAGGGGAAGGAGCACGGCGCAGCAGGTGGAAGGCTTCCACGCTCTCCTCCAGTGCCATGACGGGGCAGAAGCGGGGAGGCACTTGGAGAAGGTGGGACCAGCCCAAGGCGACTTGAGGGACTGAGGGCGGGGCTTGAAGCAGCCAGAGAAAGCCAGAGGGTTTGGGGGCTGGGCCAGGCGCGCTGGAGCTCTGCGTGGACAGGTTTGGGTGTCAAGGCAGGGCTGCAGGTGGGTGGGCGGCACCGTGCGATTTTGTGCGCTGGGCTCCTAGTTATATATAAAAAGGCACAGCTTATTTTTGCCTTTTCCATAAATTGTCTATGGCTTGAACCAGTCATTTTCAAATAGTTTATCCATTAGTGAAATTGGTATGAGCTTACAGTACCTGAGTCACAGTATATTCATTTCTTAATAAAGCAAAAGATATTTCTTGGTTTATAATTTTGGTAACATGAAAAGCTTCAAAAGAAATCTGTGAAAAGTTAACTGGTCATTTTTATTTTTTGGAGGAGGAGAGAAATTAAAGCGGGAAAGCACTTTTAAAATTCTCAAGTGGTAGCTAAGGATTTTTAAAAATATTGTTTTTATTCATTGCAAATTATTTACATCAGTCCTATAAGCAAGATAATATTTTCAAAAGACAAACAATGGGTTATTTTGGGTAATCTGCCTAATACCAGAGTTAGAATTGTAACTTGAGCTAGTCCAGTATTCACAAATGGTTACTGCGTATGCGCCAGACATTGTGCTAAAACTTTGCAAGTATTATTACCTTCAATTCTTAACCTTAGCTGTATTAGTTAGCCAAACTATAATTTCTAATTTTATATGAGGGAACAGGGGTTTAGAGAGTTAAGTGACTTATTTATGAGAATTAAGTGATACTTAACCATAAAGATAAATTTTTTAAAAAGATTTAACTGATTATCCCAAGTTCTAGGAATTACTTATTTAAATTCTTAAGGTGTGTGCTTGATGAAATTCTCATAAAAATTTTACATAAAAATTTCAAATTAATAATGGCAAAGTTTAGACTTAAAATATAACATTTTAGAATATAATATTTGCTTTCAGTTTATGAAAATAGGCTAAAAATGGATCCATTCTTGCAATATTGTATTTCTTCTTCCATATAAACACTGCCACTTCAAATTTTTAACATTTTTTTATTGATTTTACCTGAATAAATTACTTACAGCTGCACAGCTTCTTTTAAAACTTAATATTTAAATTGTTAAAAGTATTGAAAAGATAAAGGTAAATGTTAATTGTGTTGGCTTATATAACAAACATGTATATAACAAAACTCATAACCTCTCAAGATATGTAAAGAGATTTGGGCCTGTTTGGACCACGTGGGCCTATTTGGTTTAGTTAGAAAATAAATTTTGGACAATGTCTATTCACTGCATGCCCAAAACATTTGCACATTTATAGAGTTCAATTGGGAAATTAGGTAATGTGGTTTCCCACAGGAAAATACTTTCATATTAAAGATATTAATAGGGGTTATATGATAAAAGGATTTCATGATCAAAAATGTTGAGTTAAACAAAATTTAACAGGTTTCTTTATTGAGAAATTTTCAGAACATTCAATATGTTGATATGCATGATAAATCTTCAAGAGGGGAATATGACCAAAGAATCCTTTATTTATGGATCATTTTGCGGAACTAATATTCTATGAAATAATTTGGGAAATAGTAATATAGAGACTCAGTCTAATTAATTCATGTAAAAATAGATCTGGTACAGACAATATTATATTGTCAACCTGTTGACAAAAAGTTAGTAATTTGCCAAAATGTGTACTTTAGTAAGTCCCATCCAATCTACAGCCAATGGGTTTTCTCCCTGGATTTTATTCCAAGCTACAGTGTGTTTCTTGCCCTAATAGTGTATGAGGAGGAAAAAACCCAGAATGTTTTAATTTTTAATTGAAATGTGATCATTTGGGTATCACTCATTCAACAAACATTTATAGAGTGCCTAGCCAAGCACTGTGTTGCTGCTAAAACTAAAAGAGTAGTTGCGGGGAAAGATACATTTTTTAAAAAGAGTAGGATACCTTAAGAATATATTAATATATATGTGCTAAGTCCTGCACAAACTACTAAGGAATATTTGAAGAAAGTTTCTGATTTACCACTTACTAGTATTATAAAAGTCTGCTTAGCTTATGTCACTAGGACACATTTTCTATTTAGAATTTAGATCATATTTGATCATTAATCCAAGAGAGACAAGTTCCCTCCACCCATAACTCTTCTTTTTTAAAATGTTTCTTGTCATCTCTTTGTCTGTTTCATCTATTTATTATTCCATATGAATTTTAGAATAATTTTTTCAAGTTCTTCAAAAAGAATACCTTAAATTAATTTGAGAACAATTCTCTTCTTCCAGATTTCATATAGCTCTAATTCAGCGGTTCTCAACCTGTGGGTTGCAACCCCTTTGGGGGTCAAACGACCCTTGCACAGGGGTCGCCTAAGACCATCGGA